AGGGAAAGAAGGAAAGAGAGAAAGGGAGGAAGGAAAAGCCTAGGTGTTCCACAGCGGAGGCACATAGGCACATAGTTGTAACTAACTTGCCCTTGGTACCTTGTTACCTGGAGTGCTTGTTGTGTGCCAAGCATTATTTCAATTCATTCATCTTTGCATGCGATACACACAGTCGTCATTCATCCACTGACTTTACAGGTGGACCAATTACCTGTAAGTGGCCATAGGGGTTGACTAAATTTCCCAACATCACTCAGTTAGTAAGAGGCAGATGCAGGATCCGTATTGGGCAGCAGGCTCTGGAGTTCACGCTCTTCATCTTGACATGGCACTGCCTAGTGGATGCGGGGGGGCTGAGCTTCTCAGTGCATGTTGGTTACAGTAGAGGAGAAGCGGCTCTGAGGGTAGACCCTGTGTGTGTGTGCATGCACGCGTGCGTGATCAGATAGCTGAGGGGTTTATGTCCAAGTTCACATCTCTTGTCTCTCCATCTCCCCTGACCCCACCCCAGGGTGCTGGAGAGAAAGGAGCAAAAGGAGAGCCCGCAGTGATTGAAAAGGTGAGGGGTCTGGATTGCGAGGGGGTTGAGGGGCTTCATGATGACAGGGGTCATCGACACTCATTTCTCCCTTTAGGGGCAGCAGTTTGAGGGACCTCCAGGAGCCCCCGGACCCCGAGTAAGTCATGGCTGAGTTTCCTTCTTCCAGTCTTTCCCTTCCAGCTGAGGGGTGTTTAAGCCCCTGGAGTGAGGAGTTGGGGTGTAATGTTGCCTTGCCAAGTGGAGGGTAGTGGACATTTGAGGCTGAAAGGATGAGTCAAAATAGGGAGAATGAACAACATAGAGACTGGGCAACATAGCAAGACCCCATCTCTTTAAAAATAGCCACATATTGGCCAGGCGCAGTGCCTCATGCCTGTAATCCTAGCACTTTGGGAGACTGAGGTGGGCAGACCGTGAGGTCAGGAGATCAAGACCATCCTGGCTAACACAGTGAAACCCTGTCTCTACTAAAAATACAAAAAATTAGCCGGGCGTGGTGACGGGTGCCTGTAGTCCCAGCTACCCGGGAGGCTGAGGCAGGAGAATGGCGTGAACCTGGGAGGCAGAGCTTGCAGTGAGCCGAGATAGTGCCACTGCACTCCAGCCTGGGTGACAGAGCGAGACACCATCCTCCCCCCCCAAAAAAAAATAGCCTCATATTAAAAAAAAAAAAAAATAGTGGTACCCACTTGTAGTCCCAACTACTTGGGAGGCCGAGGTGGGAGGATTGCTTGAGCCCAGGAGTTGGAGGCTGCAGTGAGCTATGATCATGCCACTGCACTCCAGCATGGGTGACAGAGTGAGATCATCTCTAAAAAAAGAATAGGGGTCAGAGAGTAGCGTTGGGGGTGAGTGTGGGTCAGCATTGCATTGGAGGAGTTGGAGTGACTCTGTAGTGGGGTAGGGAGGTCAGCCTGAGGTTAGAGTCAGTGAGTGGTAGGTTGAAAGTCAGCCTAGCTCAAACTTTGCACTTCCTGTGACTCCTGTTTCTCTGTCCCCAACAGGGGGTTGTTGGCCCCTCAGGCCCTCCTGGCCCCCCAGGATTCCCTGGCGACCCTGGTCCACAGGTAAGAGACTCCCACTGGAGTGTATACTTCCCAGAGGAGTGAGGTTTGGGGCTGGGAGCATGATGGTCTGAACATAGATATGAGGGCGTGGCACTCGGGAACACCATCTCAGGGCTGGCACTGACCTCTTCTGTTCTCTGTCTCCCATCTGTGAACTATTTCTCTGGTTCCCCTCGTGTTTCTGGGGCCTACTCTTCGCTTTTCTTCTTTTGCCTGTCTCTGTTTCTGAGTGTCTTTCATCTCTGTCTTTCTCCTGTTGTGACTCTGTCTCTGTCTCTCTTCTGTCTCTCTCTGTTGGTCTCTGTCTCTCTCCCTCCCCCCATCTCTCTACCTTTGCCTCTCTCTCTATTTCTCCATCTCTGTCTCTTTACCTGGCTTTTCTGTCTGTCTGTCTCTCTTTGTTTCTGTCTCTGTATGTCTCTCCATCTGCCTCCATCCTTCTCCGCCTCTCTCTCCCCTTCTCTTTGTCTCTGTCTCCATCTCTGTCTTTTCCTTTCCCCGTCTCTCTCTCTCTCTTTCCTTGCCATGCTCCCTCTTTGATTCTGTCTCTGTCTCTCTCCATCTCTCCCTCTCTCTCTCTTTCTGACTCATCCTTCTGTGCCTGCCCTGTCCTCGCTCTCTCTCTCCCTCTCTACCTGTCTCCACCTCTCTTCCCCCATCCCTCTCTCAGGGCCCTGCTGGCCTCCCAGGAATCCCCGGCATTGATGGGATCCGAGGCCCACCGGGCACTGTGATCATGATGCCGGTAAGGAGATGGAGTGGCCCAGTCTTGGGGAGTGGAGTCCTGGTCCAGGAGGGGGCTCTCCTGGGGGCTTCCCTCACCACTAAATTCCTCCCAGTTCCAGTTTGCAGGCGGCTCCTTTAAAGGACCCCCAGTCTCATTCCAGCAGGCCCAGGCTCAGGCAGTTCTGCAGCAGACTCAGGTGAGTGGGAGGTGTGGACATTGTGGGAGGAACCCCAGAGAGTGATACAGTCTGGGCGTAAGGAGGGGCTGGGCAGGAGAGGGGGGATATTTTTCTCCTGTAGATGCCTCTGCGGGGAATGTTGGGGGTCTTGTGGGAGGCCCCAGGCTCTGACCCCTCTGTCTTTCCAGCTCTCTATGAAAGGCCCCCCTGGTCCAGTGGGGCTCACTGGGCGCCCAGGCCCTGTGGTGAGTAAGGGGACGACTGCATGGAGGGGGCGGTGCATGCCATTAGTGGAGAAGAATCATCTTCTAACCACACTTCTCCATCTCTCCTCCCCCAAGGGTCTCCCCGGGTATCCAGGTCTGAAAGGAGAGGCGGGAGCAGAAGGGCCACAGGTGAGACTGGTAGAGATAGGGCAGGATCGGATGGGAGGAGCCTTCCCCCAGGACCACAGGACGTAGTGCTGGATGGGGAAAATGCCAAAGGGGCTGAGGATACCCCTGCAATTCATGACTTTCCTAGAGAATGGCGGCTCATGTCTGGACTCCCAGCACTTTGGGAGGCCGAGGTGGGAGGATTGCTTGAGGTCAGGAGTTCAAGACCAGTCTGGGCAACATAGGGAGACCCTGTCTGTACAATAAATAAATATGTCCTTCCAAGCTGGGTACAGTGGCACACACTTGTAGCCTCAGCTACTTGGGAAACTGAGGAGGGAGTATTGCTCGAGCCCAGGTGTCCAGCCTGGGCAATACAGCAAGACCCCATCTCTAATTTTTTTTAATACAATAGAATAAGTCCCTCTTTCTTCTTATTTTCCTTTCCTTCCTCCTTTTCTCTTTCTTCTAGGGTCCCCGAGGCCTGCAGGGACCTCATGGACCCCCTGGCCGAGTGGGCAAGATGGTGAGTGACAGCGAGGTCCCCAGACCACCCCTTATCCATCCCTCGACACCCAACATGAGCCTTGGCTTTGTGACCTTGGAGTCTGCTGGTGTCATTAGTGGGACAAGAGTGCTGAAGGCGGGGAACGGCAGCTCCACTGAGCATGTGGCAAAGGAATCCGGCCAGGCCGTAGAGTCAGGAAGGACTGGCCTGCAGGAGTGACACTTGCCTTGAGATCTGAAATAGAACTGGATGAACGGATGGGGAAGTGGAAGACACAGCATGGCAAAAAAGAGGCCTGTCACATGGAAGGAAATGACAAATAAGTCAATTTCAGATAGAGTCATGCACCACATAATGGTGCTTATGAGATGATTGGCTGTGTGCAGTGGCTCACGCCTATAATACCAGCACTTTGAGAGGCCGAGGCAGGTGGATCATTTGAGGTTAGGAGTTTGAGATCAGCCTGGTCAACATGGGGAAACCCCGTCTCTACTAAAAATACAAAAATTAGCCGGGCATGGCAGCGTGCGCCTGCAATCCCAGCTACTCGGAAGGCTGAGGCATGAGAATAGCTTGAATCCAGGAAGCAGAGGTTGCAGTGAACCATTGCACTCCAGCTTGGGTGACAGAGTGAGACTGTGTCTCAAATAATAAGAATAAGAATAAATAAGTAAGTTGCTGGTCCCATGAGATTATGATACTGTATTTTTACTGTACCATTTATATGTTTGGGTATGTTTAGACATACAAATACTTACTATAGCTGGGTACGGTGGCTCATGCCTGTAATCCCAGCACTTTGGGAGGCCAAGG